GGAAGGAAGGAAGGAAGGAAGGAAGGAAGGAAGGAAGGAAGGAAGGAAGGAAGCGAGCAAGCGAGCAAGCAAGCAAGCAAGCAAGCAAGAAGCGAGCAGAGAGATTTTTATCACCAGACAAAATTGTCCAAGTCTATTTCAATATAATAATGTTAATGCTGATTAACAATGTTGATTAATAATGTTGATTATTAAGTGGACTTACATTTACCAGAAAGTAAATAAAAATTTTAATATAATTGTCATTCTCTGGTTTTCCAGAAATGTTTCATCTACCATAAGACAAAGTAATAATATACCCTTGGAAAACAAAAGAATGACTAGAATACAACAATCTTTGGCACAGATTATACTTAAGGTTTCAAAGTAAAAGTGAAAATAAAATTTTTAAGAAATTTACTTATATTTTTATATAAAAGTAAAAATATTTCAAAAACAAAATACTGAATTTATAGTGCATTCTAGTGGTCTTAACAAAATGCAACAGAACTTGTTCTAAAAAGGAAGAAAAAAATTCTACAAAATAAAAATAATATTAAGGCCAACAAATTTTAACAAAATTAGGCCAACATATGTATACTAGGACAAGTTATGGTCCCTTAAACCATTGTCTTACTGACTTGTTAAAATAAATAATAATTACTAATAGAACTCTTTTCAAGCTTAATAACAATCCTTTTGAAGTGAACACACCAAAACACTTTCTCCATATTGCTTCCACTGTTTTAATACTTGAGTTCATCATTCTTTATCTGTCTCATTCTGACTACAAGATAAATAAGCAGATTTCATGATGAACAACTCCACATTTAATACAGCTAGACCTCTCCAATTGATCCTTACTGGATACAATAACATGAAAAATGTGTAATAATCATATAGATGAAAGACACCTCATTCCAGCTTTATTTCAAAACCTGTAAATAATGTGCCAGGAATGTAACATAGCATGCACAACCACTTTTTAAATGCTGATGCTAAAAATAATCATTAATTTTAAAGACTTACATTATTGAATTCCTATATCATGCCAAGTAGTGTGTTGGCTACTAGAAATAACCTGCAACTTGGAGTCAGGGGAGATTGGAAGCAAAAGGATGCCTAAGAGACAGGCATGTAAATAACTACAGCACACCATGATAACAACTAAAAGTTATATAAAGTGTTATTGGAATGTAGATAAGGATTATCTAATTCTGTCAAAAGCAGTGCCAAATAAAGTTATTGAAAATAAGTTAACCATAAGATTTTAGCTGAAGCTCAAAAAAACTAGTCATTTTCTAGTAGGACAAATGGATTGATGGAGAGAATCAATCTATCCAAATACCACAGAAGTAAAAAAATAAGCACACAGCAGCTCAAAACACAGCCAAGTAGTACACTAATATCCAAAATAATGGAGTTCAGAGAAAGTAATAGAAAATTTACAAAAGAGTAACTCTGAAATTACTCAGGTATTTTTATGCAGGGATATAACATGATGATCACATTTCCATTTTAGAAAATGAATTCCATGTAACAATGAAGTGGAAAACGGAGATATTGGGGGCAAGGAAAACATCTGGGTTCTTTCGTAGTGTGGATAGAAGGGAAGTGGCAGTGACTGTAGAGAAATAGGGACAAAAGCAGAACAGTATTTCATACAGTACTGAAATCACTCAGATACAAGTTCCTGAATAAATCTCAGATTATACACTGTGCATTCTTCAAAGACTACCTGTGCTGGCATGTTTGGAAATAATTTGATAAATCTATTGCCAGGGAAGTATTCCTTTGGTAATGTTAAAGATTCATTTTTTTTACTCAATAATGGATATTAAAGGGGGGACTACTTAAAATATAACAATGCAATAACATGATCCTTAGTGATCTATACTCTAGTATGTATGGGTAAAATGACATGATGGCTAGAATTGAAAATACATGAAGATTAAACAAGAATGACAAACATACTAGTTGTTGAAGTATTTCTCAATCCAAACAAAATTTTAAATTTCTGACATTAATACATTAGAAAATAATTTCAGGATGAAAGCACTGAAATGTTGCAAGGGTCCATCTTTTAAATTCCAAGCATTAAAGCCTTGGAAAAATAAGTTTGGAATAAAAAGAACTAAAATCTACGAAAGATCCACCCCCCCCACCACACACACACACACACACACACACACAATCACACAATGCCTTTTAAATCTTCAATTTATCATACTTTAAAAGTGCCATTGCATCAGGAGTAATCCCAAATCAAAACATCCTATAACTCCAAAAAGATATAAAATCAGGGACTCTTTTTTATGAGTCTCCCATTACTTAAGAAGAAAAATCTTCCCCAGACGCAGCCAGTTCTTAATATTGTCTGTTCTTCAGAGTCAAACTTCTTGAAAAAGTAAGCAACTGTATCTGTCTCCTATTGTCATTCCTTCATCCCTGTGACTTGCCCTTTGTTGCTGCTACTTCGCAGAAACTGCCCCGACAAGGATAACAAACTGCCCACTGGCAAATCCAAATTATTTCCAGTACACAACTTAACTTGGAGATTTGGCATCAGCAATTGTCTTAACTCCTTCCCCTATTGGCTCATTTACAAAACTATTCTATCCTTCCATTACTTTGTTTGTTCTTCTTCTTCTGCCTTTTCCTCAAACATTTCCATTTCTTGTGTTCTTACTAGTTGTCTCTTCTTCTTTCATGATACTTCTTATAATCTACTGTATATTCCAAGAATGTATTTTCACCCTTTTATTTTAATCCATTTGATAATTTTTTAAACTCTCACTTAAAATCCACACAGCTTTTCAGGCCAGAAACCAGGGAGTCATTACTGAATTACCCTTCTCTCTTACTTTCTCTACCATTTCCATTTATCTCCAAATTTTATGGATTCTACTTAAAATGAGTTAAGGAAGATGCTTATTTCAGCAGATTATTAAAACCTACCCACCTGATATAACACATCATTACAGTACAGCTCCCATTTTGAGAAAGGGTGATCTTTCTAAAATATATTTCACAAAATTTTATGCTTAAGAATTTTGAATAGCATATACACAGACTGAATCCTGGGCCAAGAAAAATATGCTATGAAGATATTATTGAATCATATGAATATAGATAGCAAAATTATATCAACATTAAATTTCTTTAATTTGATAATATGCTGTGGTTACATAAAAAATACCTTTTTTGGAAAAACAAACCAACATAGTATTTGACCTCAGTGCCTCCTTTTCACTCAGTCCCCGGCCCAAGGTGACAAATTGTGTTTGGAGCTGTTGGCTTACAACTGTAGTGGGCTTCCACCTGCTTCGTCTTGTCGTATGGCTGTGTTTCAAACCAAGTTTTCCATCTAAGTATTTTCTTGGCTTTGGTTTGCTTCCATTATTTTTTTTAAAATTATCTTTAAGTACTTGTATAAAAGGATTACAATTCAACATTAAAAAAATACCTTTTTTGTTTTATATATATATATATATATATATATATATATATATACTGAAGAAAAAATTTGAAAACATACACTGAACTGTTTGCCTGCTAGTTGTCTCTTCTCCTTCCATGATACCTCCTGTAATCTACTGTACATTCCCAAGTATGTACTTTCACTCATATTTTAATTCAGTTGATAATTTTTAATCGATAGTTGATGACTGCATAAAAAGTGCTTGCAAGTTTTCCATTAGTTCAGGATCATTCTGGAATAAAATTTGTTTGAATACTGCCATGTTCCATATCATGACTGATAAGTTTAAACTTCTTAGGTAGACTCTCCATTGTCTTAATTCATCCTCCTCTACAATTTTTGTTCATGAAATCACAACTCTCCACACACAATTAAGGACAAATCTCTGAAACACCACACTATTTTGTTCTACCTCTGTACCATGCCTGAATGGCAAGCACCTACCTACTTGTTAAAATGCTGGTTTACCTTTCTGTATCACCCCCAAGATGGTAATATCTACTCACTTCACTTTGACTTGGACTGTATACTCTGCACATACCACTACCACAACACCTATCCTAACTCACTGCACTTCTGTGATCTACAAGTCTGGATATGCACACTCACCCACACACATAACCCCTGGTTACTTTGGTATTTGTATATTCCAGTTCTCCTGTTTTGTAAGGTAGCAAAATAAACTGGTAAACAGCACAGGCTTAAGAATTAGACAATACTGAAGGATCTCATCCATAGCTCCACCAAAGTTCTGCCACTGCAGAATACTTAGTTTGAAGCCTCAGGGCCTGGTACACAATACCAATTCAATGAATAGTTATTAGAAATGTTATTGCTTTCTCTCTCTCTCTCTCTCCTCCCCCCCCTCTCTGAGTTAAGCCTCCAATTTGGACAGCTTAAGATTTCAAATAGTACAAGGCCATCTGCTTTTAAAATGACTTTTTTTTTCTATCTTCCCAATATGGCTTTAAATCAGCTTCTCAAGTATGAGAGGAAACATCTATTCTTTAGCCAGAGAGATAAAATTTCAGATGTCATTTAAAGATCCTTTATGAAGATGTACACAAGTTCTAATGAAGTTTAAGCTATTTTCAGTATTCATAAATATGTGATAAATGATGTTTTATGGCAGTTTCACAAACACCCAACTTCAAAAGGCAAGAAAGGGAGGAGTACAGTGGTTCAGAGCTACAATCAAAGTTATTTGGGAGGCAGAAATCTAATCACAGTTCAAGGCTAACCTGGTCATAAAGTTCCCAAGATCCAATAGAAAACTCAATGTGATGGTGTGTGCCTGTCATCCCAGCTACAAAGAGAAGCCTAAATAGGAAGATCATGGTCCAGGCTAGTCCTGGACCATGGAATAAATGCAATAAATACTCTACTAAAAATAATGAGCCCAGCCCCAGTGGCTCTGACCATGAGACTCTCATCCAATTAAATACCAAAAAGCTGGAAGTAGAAGCTAGGTTTGAGCAAAAAAGCTCACTGACAACATCCAAGTGCTGAATAAGGTCTAGTACCAGCAGAGGATAAAAGGTAGCAAAGCAGCCGCCCGCTGGCTCATGCCTGTAATCCTAGCTACTCAGGAGGATGAGATCAGAGGAATGTGGTGCAAAGCCAGTCTGGGCAGGAAAGTCAGTGAAACTTATCTCCAATGAACCACTCAGAAAACAGGAAGTAAAACAGTGGCTCAAGTGGTAGAGTGCTAGCCTTGAGCTAAAGAGCTGAGGAACAGCATTCAGGCCCAGAGTTCAAGCTCCATGACTGACAGACAGACAGACAGACAGACAGACAGACAGACAGACAGACACACACACACACACACACACACACAAGTAGCAAAGGAAAGAATTCCAATGTCAATTATCAAAAAGATTCAGATTATTGAAAACAATGAACTGCTTCACATTGCTGACAAAAATAAAAATCTACAGACCAACTATTAAAGTAAATAAACAATATAATAATATCTGAAACTCTCAACTCATGCCCTATTTTCTTTACCTGTAATACAAACTGAGTATCTTAGACAGTAGCAAGACAGAAAAACATTAACACCTGGAAAGATAGGAAGAGCTGCCAACAAAGTGACAAAAAAAATTCTCAGCAGTCTGCCAGACTATTTTTCCTAAGAAACTACATCAAACTGAATATTAGATGACCGGGGAAGGGAAAAGTGATACAGAGATTTCCTTTAGAATTAAAAAGAATTTCAAACTTATCAAGAATCAGATACAGTTTGGTGCTTGTGGCTCATACCTGTAATCCTAAACTACTTAGGAGGCTGAGATCTAAGGTTTGAAGCCAGTCTGGGCAGGAAGTCTGTAAGACTCTTATCTCCAATTAACCAGCAAAAAGCTGGAAGTAGAGCTGTGGCTCTAGTGGTAGAATGCCAGCCTTGAACAACAAAAAGCTCAGGGACAGTACCTATGCCCTGAGTTCAAGAAGAAAGGAAAGAAAGAAAGAAAGAGAGAGAGAGAGAAAGAAAGAAAGAGACAGAGAGAAAGAAAGAGAGAAAGAGAAAGAAAGAAAGAGAGAGGGAGGGAAGGAGGCAGGGAAGGAGGCAGGGAGGGAGGCAAAGAAAATAGAAGATCAGAAATAAGTTTCTTTTTTTTGGGGGGGGGTCCGGTCGTGGGGCCTGAACTCTGGGCCTGGGCGCTGTCTTTCAGCTCTTCAGCTCAAGGCTAGTGCTCTACCACTTGAGCCACAGCGCCACTTCCAGCTTTTTTCTTTTTGCGTGTGTGGTGCTGAGGAATGGAACCCAGGGCCTCATGCATGCAAAGCAAGCGCTCTACCATTGAGCCACCTTCCCAGCCCCAGAAATAAGTTTCTTAAGACAGGATTGATGAGGCGGGAAAATGTGGGTAAAATGTTTTAAATCAATCAGTTTACTGAACATTATTATTAAAATAAAATTAACATTTATAATCATAAATAAAATGTTTATTACATATATTCTTGAATTCCAGAGTATATTAATCTATTCAATATTAAAATATAGATTTTAGGAATGGTAGAAAAATTAATCTGAAATTATGAGAATATTTTCTATTTTAATAAATTACCTTTCTTGTTTAAGAGCATATTCCAACATTTTGATCCTCCTGACAAGATCCTTCTTCAAATTTTCTTGACCTTTTCTTTCTCCTTGAAGGAAAGCAATCTGAGCCTATGAATGGGTGAGAAAGGAAAAAATCAGTTTGAGCAAATATATTTTTTTAAAAAATCAGTTAAGAAAAAGAGCCTTAGGATTACAGAACAAGTAGAATATTTTCTCTGCATAGCAGTCACAAAGTTTGTAGGAATACAAAAAAAGCATTAACTGAGAGAGAGAAAATGACTGAAAACAAAAAGGGGGTCACCTATGTACAGTTTACTTCAGACTAGGCATGTTAACAGTCTATATTCCCTTAGAACCTATAAATCAGCCACACACACCCCACACACACACACAGAAGACATACAGTGCAGTTTGTTCAAGTAAATGTCTTTTATGCCTTTAAAACTTTTAATAGAGTGAAAGAGGACAGTAAAATCAGAATTCTTACAATCTTTTAAATTCAGAGTTTCACCATACACACACACACACACACATACACACACACAAATTTTATGAGGGCTTCCATATCTTGAGCGACTTTACATTATTTTTAGTAGAGTATTTATTGCATTTATTCCATGGACCAGGACTAGCTTCCCTACAAATATTAAATACCTTACACCTTGTCTCAAAACACCCACTCCCAACCATTGCTTTAGGGAAATATATATATATATATAGTACACAGAAACTGGATAAAGGGAAACTAAAAGGAATGGTCTTTTGTGCATTACTTCCCACTCCACAAAGAATTACTGAACCCTGCACTTTCACATGAGACAAAACTATAAACAACTTTGATCTTTACACATTTAGTATCTTCAACTAAAAAAATTGATCTACGAAATACTAACTCATCCAAGTAACTCAAATACCTAGAAAAGCCAGGTAGGAGCTCTATTTATTTAAGGTCCCTGAAGGATAGCTATGAATATCACTATTCTCACATACTACCACACTCATAATTTCTATTATATTAACCAAGACAGATAACAACGTTATTTATATATCCACAATGCTATCCATTTGACATTCGCAAGAATTTGATATTTAAGGACAACCTTATCCCATCCCTAAAAAATAAAACTCAGTTAAATTCATTTGGTACTACAATGAACATAAAAGCCACTTTTATAACCTCCAAGACAGACACATTGTAATGTTTCTTCAGTTCAATGAGCTCTTAAATTTTACCTTTCTTTAAATTCACATACATTTGTAATATGAGTGGTCTCATGGTGATCTTTCCAAACATGCAAACAATACTTTGAACAAATTCACCTCCTTCACCATATTCCTATTGCTCACTTCTTCCCTCAAAATGTGCCTTTTAATTAAAATAATATTTATCTTATTGAAATAATTAAGATCAGAATGAAAACAACTCAATTTTATATATTTTATATATGGAAGAAAAAATATCAGACTTGCCTCAAACATCATAAAAGTGTTTTGAAATTGTATTTTTGTAATGAGATAATTATTGTACCTAAAACAATGATACATACACTTAAAGGTAAATATGAAAGGAAATGATAGCCCAACATATTTGCCCAGACAATTCACTGAAACAGAATTTTATACATTCTTCTTTAAAATGGCTTTAATAAATTCAAGAACCGAAAAATGCAATAACCTAATCATCTAATAATTAATTTATCTAATCAATACAATTATTTAATCAATGAATAAAAACACTTATTACCAATTTTGTCCTCTAAACTTTTTGATTAACTCTGCATTTTGCCTCTACCATTGTTCCTGTATATTTCTAAAAGTCTAATACTGGAAAGTCTTCATTATGACCCAGTCTCCAAAACATTGGCTATTTCCATATTTTCCCAGTGTATTTGCTTTCCCTATCCTCCAAGCACTGGATTAGTTAAATATTTAATCAAAAAAGATGGCTCAAAACTGCGAAAGAGAATGATTACAAAGATGAGTATGTGGCCAAGGCAAACATAAAAGAATAGAAAATCTGTTACACTCCTTCATGACCACAGAGTACCTCTGAGACAGCCTGCAAAAGACACATAGCCTAAAATCAATCATAAGAAAATAGCAGGTTAAAAGAAAAAGAAAATTGCAGGTAATCTTAAAATAAGGATCACTTCACATAATTTTCTTATAATCTTCAAAACTATTAGTTCATGAAAGCTAAGGAAAACTGTTCCAGATTGAAGAAAACTATACACAAGAAAAGCCAGTGCACTGCATGATTCTGAACTGCATTTATCTGTAAGACATTATGGGGACAAGAATGGGGTCTGAATATCAGAGAGCATTAAATTCCTGGCTTTGATGTGATATGTGGTTACATGGAGAGTACTTGTTTATAAGAAATAAACATTGAAGTATTTGGTAGAAGCCAGTAGACTATCAAGTTAGCTAGCAGCTAGCTCATATGGTTCAAGAAAAAAAAGTTCTTTGTATGATCCTTCTAAGTATACTTTCAGTTTAAGCTTTTGTTAAAATTTTGAAATAGTTTGCTAACATTCTTAAAGATAAAATTCTCTACTCAAACACTAGCACTATGTACACAGAAACCCTAGAAACAGAGATAATAAAGTTAGAATGAAATAAGAGTATCCATGTCCCCACAAACATTTAGTCAACATTGAGCTTGAAGCGCTGGCCAATGCAATTCTGTCAAGTAAGAAATTTTTCTATTTCCTCTGTAAGAAAATAGAAAAAAAAACTTAGAAACAGTATGAGCAAGTACCAGGTAAGTCCAACAAAATGGATATTAAAAAGTTATATAAACCAGGCACTGGTGGCTCACGCCTGTAATCCTAGCTACTCAGGAGGCTGAGATCTGAGCATCATGGTCAAAGACAGCATGGACAGGAAAGTCCGTGACACTCTTATCTCCAATAAACCACCAGGAAACTGGAAGTGCCACTGAGGCACAAAGTGGTAGAGCGCTAGCCTTGAGTTGAAGAGCTGAGGGCCAGAGCTCAGGCCCAGAGTTCAAGCCCCACAACCGACAAAAAAAAAAAGTTATATAAGCTGAGTACAGTATCTATGCCTGTAATCTCAGCTACTCAGGAGGCAGAGACTGGGAATGATCATAGTTTAAGGCAAACCCAGGCAAAAATAACTAAAGCAAAAAGGACTGGTGGCATAGTGATAGAGTGCTTGTTCTATCCCAGTACCATCCAAAAAAAAAAAGTAAAACCAAAGTTATACAAAGAAAATTAAACATAATTTACTAAAGGGCACAGCAAAAATGACATGAAAAGATTCAGAGATCCTTAAATGCATGCACTCAGCATTATAATAATTTCATTTCTCTCTAATCTTTAAACACTATGCAACCTTGATTGACTGAAACAACAGCAACTGAAAAATAAACATCATACCTTAAAATACTTTAAAACATAATCCTACAATTCTATAGTCACTTAACAAGTAGCACTGATGGACAGAATTATAGTACAAAATAGTCAAAGCACAAACCCAAATAGAAACTTTTAAAATTAGGTAATGGGTTAGTCTAGAGGATGTAGTGTGATGGTAGAGGATGTGCTGATTAAGATTTGCTAAGGCCCTACATTCAATCACTGGGACTAAAGCAAATCAAAATTACAATTTATTAATTCTTTAAAAATTTAGTGAACATGGAATATATTACAAGAGGTTCACTTTGTTTCTATTCATGAGATGACAATCTCTTTTTTTTTTCCAGTCATAGGGCTTGAACTCAGGGCCTGGGCACTGTCCCTGAGCTCTTTTGCGCAAACCTAGGGCTCTACCACTTGAGCCACAACTTCAGGGTTTTTTTTGTTGTTGCTGTTTTTGTTTTTAGTTGGTCCTGAGGCCTGAACTCTGGTCCTGGGCACTGTCCCTCAGCTCTTCAGCTCAAGGCTAGCACCCTACCACTTGAGCCATAGCGCCACTTCCAGCTTTTTCTACTTATGTGGTGCTGCAGAATTGAACCCAGGGCCTCATGCATGCAAGGCAAACACTCTACCATTGAGCCACCTTCCCAGCCCCAACTTCAGTTTTTTGAGTGGTTAACTGGAGATGAGAGTCCCATGGAGACATTTCTGCTTTTTCTGCTTTTCACTTAGAACTGCGATCCTCAGACCTCAGCCTACTGAGCTGCTACAATTACAGGAGTGAGCCACCAATGCCCAGCATCTCGATTTTTTTTCCTCTGGAAAACTTAGTCTTTAAAGCACATGTTCCTACATAAGGAAATTATTTTCTTTTTGTTAAAAAAAAATGTAAATCAGGGGCTGGGAAGGTAGCTCAGTGGTAGAGCACTTGCCTTGCATGCCTGAGGCCCTGGGTTCAATTCCTCAGCACCACATAAGCAAAAAGAAAAAAGCCGGAAGAGGCGCTGTGGCTCTAGTGGTAGAGAGCTAGCCTTGAGCTGAAGGGCTGAGGGACAGCGCCCAGGCCCAGAGTTCAGGCCCCACGACCGGACCCAGAAAAAAAATATATATCTAAAACATAATAACTGATACCTTAAAGCATAAATTCCAACTAAACATTCTCTAAATGTGGCAATATACTGCTGTTTGAATTGGCAAGAGTAGAGTGAAAGGCAGAAGACTGAGAGGACAGAAAGAGAAAAAGGTAAAGCAGAAGAAAAGAAGGAACAGAAGGAGGCATCTATATCAAGGGATACCATACAGCTGTTTCAGGGAAACAGTTCTGAAGAGATTGATAATAAATTATATCCAAGATAAAAGTAAATGGGGGAAGGGGAAAGTAATACATAAGACACTGTGTATAGTTTGCCACTAATTGGTTTTCTAAGAAAAAAGTAAATATATCATTATAACTCTATGTGTAGGTTATTATCACTAGAATAATTCACAAATATACAGCAACTATAAATGCTTATACAGCTAACAAGGTGACAAGGAGATGGAGATACTGTTTAAGCCCACCTTTAAATGTTCCCTCTCCCCTATGCATTTTGAAGGTTGAACCATAGTTACTATGCTTAAAAGAATTTTAATTGCAAAGTGTTAGAGCCAAACAAAACATATCCACCAAATCCAAACCCATAAGCCATTATTTGTAGACACACTGTCTTGATGTTCCAGTCTAAACTC